CTGCTCACAACTAGCACAAAATACAGTTTTCTGAGAGTTTCTGCCATGTGTTGGTTGTGGTGAAAATGCCCAAGTGTTTACTCCAGAGAATAGCCACCATGACTAAAAAACTTTTCTTAGAATATACAAGTACCAACCTGTTACAGTTGCTTTCCAAAAGCCAGAGAAGATTAAACGAAAAATCTGCATAATTTCTAGATTCATGTAAGCGTATCAAATATGCTTCTGTAATACACATGGAACATGGAAGTCACTGCTGTCTCTCCTGACGTTTTTTTGTCTTTATAAGTAAACATGACTGTTTTTTCTGAGTAATACATGCTTTGATTTGAAATTTCTTTTAAAAGCCATTGGTGCTGCAATATAGAATGCCAGTACTCAGCGCCAACAAGCTAACTTCGACAACTATTCCACTAGCAAATTTTCAACTCCAAAAAAAAAAATAAAACAAAGAGGACAAACACAATACAGTGAATTTAGGGAGAAATCCACGAACCTCCTGAAAACAAACCAAGAGCTAATGTCAGGTGTTTCATTCTGACCCACTGTGGCACCCATCACACGTACATCTAAAATCTGCTATTTTGGAATTAAATCAACCAACCATGTAAATACATAACCTTATTGGGAATAGTTTAACGTCATTTTTCTTTTGTAATTTAAAAAAAAATGGCAAAATGCAGTTTTTTAAACAATAAAAAGATAAATTTACACAAGTGGACGAAAGTCGACAATAATGGTCAAAAAGGTGAAATAGTGCAGTGTGAGCCGAGTTAGTTTGTAAATTGATTGACACATATTTCATATTCATGTACATTGCAGTTTGGTCTTAATTAATTGAGCTGCCGACAGCGAGTCTGGCACTTCGATCAATAAAACATGAGTAAAGTGAACGACTTTAAAAGCTCTAACAGGTTTATCTGTTGTATATTACGGTCTATTCGTGATGATAATGTGTTTTCTGACAGTTCGCTTTATTTACTGTTGCCCAATAACACTTAAAAATAATAGAAAGTCTAATATGAAGATAAATTGACAACTCTATTATGTTTTCGTATTATAACCTTGTTTACTGTGTCGTGTTTTTGAGTCAAATGTAGGTTTGTGAACCATGTACATGTAAATGTTGTGTCGGTAATTTGATCAGCTCAATTTTCATATTTTAATAATTTAAATAATTATTAGTTGATTAACTATTTATTAAATTTGTTATTATCCATGTTATTTCTATTTAAATGAATTGTCACGTGTCAATGAAGTGATCCTTTCGTGATCAAACCCGGTCTTGCATTTTGAAAATGGTCTTCTGAACACAGTAATGTGAGTGATTAGCAAGGCTAAAATATCTTCAAAATTGTATGAATTGGGAGAGTTTTAATAAGCTCTTCTGTGTCTAGATATATGTAGGCATGTGAAGTGTTCACTCTCCTTAGAAAATAAGGTCTTTTTGCTTCTTTTTGAGATAATTACCCTAATGTTTTGCATACCAAAGTAAACTGTTGTCACCCCTCAAAAAATAGTTCAATGCACTATATCTTGCATATTAATTAGGTAATTTGCATATCATTAACCATTTGAATGCCAAAGTAAACTGTTGTCACCTTTCACAAATTGTTCAATGTACCATATTGTGCATATTAATTAGGTAATTTACATATCATTAACCTTTGAATTCCAAAGTTAACTGTTGTCACCTTTCACAAATAGTTCAATGTACCATATGTGCATATTAATTAAGTAATTTGCATATCATTAACCTTTAGTAGTTTTTTTGTCACTTGACAAAATAAATCCCAAGTAAAATTATAAAAAAATATTTTTAAATTTTGCATCAGCTATTCATAATTATAGTTGATTATTAACTGAAACTGCAGAAAAAAATGATATAAACATTATAAGCATTGTAAACATTTGTGTCATCAAACAGGTCAAAGCCTATGACAGAACCCCACACCCTCCCCGTGGCTTTCGCTGCGTATGGAAGTTATTTTCACGAGTGATGCGGTGTATCCTGCGGCCGTACTTCTGTTATTATTACATATGTTCCATACTTGATTATTTCGTATTAAAGAAAGAACGTGCAAACCGGGATATCGATGGAATTTAGGTCGGGGAACCCCATTGCCCATTAATATGTTCCAATATAAGTGTTACGCCCTAGCAGCGCGTGTCAGTGTAGAACGCGCCCGGAGAACGCGTGTCACTGTTTGTTTGAAATTAAAATCAGACGTCTAATCTGAGTCACTGTCCGAATAAATAACTCGTTGACGTTTAGTTGGGACCACGGCAGAACCAGAACTTGAACTGGACGACTATGATACACAGTTTATGTTGAAGTTAAAAGTTCCGCCACAGAATTGTGCATTGGCAAACATGCCGTGCAACTGCGGTACTCCACTGACGAGATGACTTTCGTTGACAGCGGTTGTCGCTGAGCTGCACGCTACAAATTCGTGTGTGATGTTGCTTGCTGGTCGTGGATTGACTGAGTCTTGATTACCGGTTAAAATGTTGCTCTTTTGGCGTTGGTATCTTTTATTTGGAACTGAGTAACGCCGCAACGTCGCCGGCAGAAACCTGGTATCTCGATGCTGATGATTGCGGCTGCATAGTAATCGCTGATTTTACTGCTGGTGGATCTTCTGAGAGCCGCCCTTCAAGGTTTATAAAACTCGGTTTCCAGGTGGTCAACATACATTAAGTTCTCCCAATCGTAGTATTCCATGTGATGTACACCTGACATGCCAAAAATGTTGTTGAACGATTTGAACTGGATAAAAATAGCAGACGAAAATGTGTTTACAAAATAAAAATAGTTCGGTAGCCAATGAAAATACCATGTTCATTTGCATATCGACCGTGAAAATACCGAAAACATTATTGCATGGGTGATATGCAAATTAGTTTGGGCCAAAATATGTGACTGCCTAAAAGTACCATTACTGTTGTTCAAATTTCATTTCACTCGGCAAGTATATTCATGTACCCCAAGGGGAAATTATCATACTTCTAAATATTATTTATTTCGAAAAACTGTACTCCTGAAGGGACTACTTTGTTTGCTCTCAGACCTCATTTGCATATGGGTTGTGGAAATACCGATTTTGATTTCAGGAACGAATCAAAATAAACTGCAGTACATATGTAATAATATACAATATTTCACACAGTAACATTGTACGACTGTAGAATTGACCGTAAAGACTGCAGTGGATGCTTATCTACAATAACAACGAGAGAGGAATTACAATGTGGATGGTGTGTCAGTGACAGTTCATGTCAGATTTCATCACATTGCAATAGACATTGGTGGTCACAAGATGTAACTGAGAATTGCGATGATCCTATTATAAGTGAGGTATATTTACAATGTGTACTATTCTCGATCATTGAGTAATTCATTTAGCATATATGTTTATTTTATGTCTTCATGTAATACGAGATTAACTAAAATTATAATTTAAATTGTCAGATATATCCGTCATCGGGACCTTATGAAGGAGACACAGATATTATTATTAATGGCAGCAACTTAGCAAGATGTTTTCTCTCGTTAAGAGTGTCACCGTAGAGGGCGTTCTTGTACAGTAATTCAGAAAGATACAGAGTATCAAGAAGGTAATATAGTATGCAGTAATTGCTTTCTGTGCTTTTTTTCAAA